GACTGAAGACTTAAGGTCAGATTTTGCAGCCTAGCTGTAAACCACAACACAACGTGCCAACCACCCTCTCAGGGGCAAACGAATATTACCCGTCACATGAACATTGTGTATCACGTCGCCGCTATCGCAGGCGTACTGTAAACCCCAAAATCGAGCGGGGAAAAAAGGCGTAGATATTGCAGCCTATCAATAAACCACAACAAAACGTGGCAGCCACCCAGTTAGGCAGTCCCCACCCCCCCCCCTTTCCTCCCAAAAAATATATTACCCAGCGAGGAATCGAACGCCTATCGCGCGAAAGGCGAAATGCTTACAGCTAACTACGCTAAAAACTATTTGAGCATTTAGTAGAAATAAAATTATATAATAATGTGGAGTTCGGTGTTACACACAGAGTCAAAGGTGACCAACAACTAAAAACAAATCCAGGCCGGCAATGAAACCACTAATTAAATGATCGTTGCTGGAGCTATGTCATTCGTGGTTTGTTCAAAACTCATACATACAAACACGCGTGGAGTCTAAGGCAACGCTGTCTGAAAATTTGAAAGCGATCGGTAAAGAACTGTCGGAGATTGATCCTAGGGGAAAAGGCATCTATTGACAGCCCTGCTTAGCAGTCGTGGGTGGCCAATCAACTAAAAACAAATCCGGGCCGGCAATGAAACAAAAAATGATTTGACCGTTGCTGGAGCTACGTCGTTCGTGGTTTGCGCGATTTTATGACCACCCAAAAAACATGCTTTGAGTCAAAGGCAACGTTGTGTGAAAAATTGAAAGCAATCGGTTCAGTAGTGTCCGAGTCTATATTTAAGAAACTCGTAAAATTACAATTTTTTAAAATATAGATTCGTTTTATAACATTATCTATAGAATTTTACTCTATAGACTAATAGTTTAACTAATACTTAGTTAAATTAATTCTTACTTGGTCTCTAGGGAAAGCTTCGTCTATTTGTTTAGCCACCGCCCACTCAAAGGTAAACATCTGGTCTGCTATGCCGCTTCCACTGGCCTTTCGATAAAAAAAAAACTGTATTCTTAACGGAACATTTATAGTTCATATTTTTAAAATTACTTGTCTGGCTTCCCCATCCTTAACCGCTAATACCTATATGACTTTAATATTTATTATTAGCAATTATGTATGAAAAATCCAAGATATATATATTTTTTTAATCAACATCAACATGTCACTTTTAATCTATTCATCTTCATTATCTCTTTGAACTGTTAACTATCGCTTTGTTCACTCTGACCTTGTTTATAAAATTTTCTTATTTATTTTCTAGAACTGATACAAGAACTAAAGAATTTTCTCTCGCTATTTACAGAGTACTATTCTTATATCTTCCCTAATAACGTCTTACAGGCCAACTTAATTTATTTTCTAATCATTCTTACTTTACATTTTACCACTCTCCGGTGCCGCCCATCCATCTAGATGTTATCCATACAAAAATGTGGCTAAGTTAGTGTGTCGGTAAGGAGCATCTAATTTGTCTATCCTTAAAATTGATAGTTTGACCCACAAACACCACACGTAAACACCACGTCATATTTTACTATGGTAAAGCAATCTTCTAGAAGAACCTTTTAATAACCAAGCGATTTAAGGATATGTAAGATTGGGTAAATTAGGCAAATTCATGACAGTACCTAACTATGTTCACACGCACCAACTTACATTAGTTATGTAGGATTCTCACTGTCAGTACATCTCACGCTTGCATTTCACGGCTTCCGCATTCACAAACTGCACAGCACAGCTGGCATTCTCACCTAAATTTCGTGTTGTCATAGATTGATTTTGCAGGTTTCTTCGGGCTAGAAGGTTGAAGGCATTCACTCGTTTATATCCGGATGCATTCAGCTCAAGCACTCCAACGGCCACAAGACCAGATCGAAAACAAGACTGTCCTGTTTCATTGCACTCACTTCTTTAATAACCTTTTAATTTCCTTGTGAACGTCCAGACTATTCTCAAGCATTCCTGTTTTCTTCGCCTAACATGCTTTTGCCCAAACGGCATAATGTTTCCGTTTGCCTCGATTTGCTCACACATATAATTTTCTTAATACCACCCATTCAGAAAATTTATGATAGTGAGATCCGAAGGAGAAAATGACTCCATATAGTCGAAGACCATTCAGATCCATACAAATTTTACCTCTCTGACATTCTCTAATGTTCTCCAGTCATAACAGTCTATTAGACCTCATGATGCCAGTTACCAATTGTGCTTTGAATAGATTATGAATTTCGTTGTTGGTTAGCATTCTCCATTTTCCGCCGTTTGCATCTATGATGAATCCAGGGATTGTCATAAGACTCTATGTTTTCGAACATTTGTAAAAAAAATTTTCAGAGCCATATCTGGTAGAAAACAACTGGTCTTCTTCTTCTTCTTCTTCTTTCGTTCGCCTGAAATAAGTTGTCTATATCAGCAATTGTGTCTCTTGTATAAAATTCACTGTTGTTGTAAATTCATTCAGTGGTTCATAGAGTTTACTTTCTACTGTTGTTCTTTCTGGCCAAAAAAGTTTGCCTTAATGTGTCAAAATCGGTGCAGTCCTGAAGTACATGCTCTGCTGTCTGGGGCACCTTTCCACAGGTGCACACGGCTGATACGCCTTACTTGAATTTTGTGTACATGTAATTACGTAGTCGGTTGTGCCCTGTTCTGAGGCGGAGGATAATGACTTGTTCTGATCTGTCCATAATAAAATAGTCGTCTTGTGCTGGGGCTGGTGGTTTCCTGATTGATTTAATGATTCTTTTCTTTTGGTGGTATGTGACTGGTACATCCGGCTGCACGTTTGTCGCACCTTCTCCTGTCAGTTGATCAGCTTCTTCATTTCCAGGCACTCCATAATGTGATAGTATCCACTGCATTACAACTCTTCGCTGAAGGCTAAGTTGTGTCAGCAGTGTTTGCGATTCTGGTAGTTTCCTAAACTGGAGTGCTTCAAGTACTGATTTTGCATCTGTCCGCATTACCTCATACTGTGAGCTAAGATCGGTATTTAGCAGTTTCTCTGTTGCTATCTTGATAGCCTGAGTTTCTGCTTCATAGTTATGGCAGTACTTTCCGGTTGGTACAACAACAACTGGTCTTATCAACGTTTTAAATATTTTGAATAAAATGAACAGACGTATAAAATTCAGTCACATTTAGATTTTCTGGTAGAAGAGTAAAATCACTATTTTTTTCGACTTATCATTTCATGACTAGTCTTAGAAGCTATCCAGAAATCCTTTCATTAATGACATTGATAAACTGACATAATCTATTCGAGAACAGCCACTTGAGCTGAAATGTAAAGAGTTAAAGATGACTTCTAATTTTTAGGATTGAGTTTATGTGTGTAAGTGCGAAAGTATGTTTGTCTGAAGTGTGTTTGTACGTGTGCGCATTATCTTGTTAATTAAGTACCCTCATGTGGACGATTTGCTATTAATACACGGCTATCCTACGAATAACGGCCACATATTATGGCGGCTAAAACACACGCTGACAGGGCCTCAGTCACATGTAAATTGCGTACTTCCGGCGACTTAAATTGCGTACTTCCGGCGACTTTATTTGCGGACTTCCGGCGACTACCACCACCGCTGAGAGTATACTAGATGGCTGGGACTCACTAACAAAGCTGCAGAAGATGCGGAAGCTGCTGCTCGTGAGTCCCATCCATCTAGTTTAGCCCCGCTCTGCGCCACGCATAGCGGCGAGTGAGATACATCGGTGGTGACGGTAGTCTTCAGGAGTCCGCAATACAGCTCCCAAACGTAGTTGAACGATAACTCTCTTTAAAGGTTCTATTGTGTATTGACAACAGCAATGATCAACAGAAAGAGGAAATGTGCAATTAATAATTCAAACACACCAACATACATACATACATACATACACAGACAGACAGACAGACAGACAGACAGACAGACAGACAGACAGACAGACAGACAGACAGACAGACAGACAGACAGACAGACAGACAGACAGACAGACAGACAGACAGACAGACAGACAGACAGACAGACAGACAGACAGACAGACACAAACACACACATACATAAATACATACATACATACATACATACACACACACACACACACATACATACATACATACATACATACATACATACATACATACATACATACATACATACATACATACATACATACATACATACATACATACATACATACATACATACATACATACATACATACATACATACATACATACATACATACATACATACATACATACATACATACATACATACATACATACATACATACATACATACATACATACATACATACATACATACATACATACATACATACATGCATGCATGCATGCATGCATGCATGCATGCATGCATACATACATACATACATGCATGCATGCATGCATGCATGCATGCATGCATGCATGCATGCATGCATGCATGCATGCATGCATGCATGCATACATACATACATACATACATACATACATACATACATACATACATACATACATACATACATACATACATACATACATACATACATACATACATACATACATGATTCAAGGAGCCTAAGCTGTCTTGTTTTAGTGCCTAATATTATTTATAATGAATAATTATAAAGTGCTGAATAACAATAAAAAAAATGAGTTTTTTTTTCTGGAAAAAAAGATGATAATAAAAAAAATGGACCCATGAAAAGAAACATGACTTCAAAAAAAAAAAAATGTTTTGTCGCAGGCAACCTAGCCCTCATGCAAATGTATGGACGAGGAGAATTAGACCAATCAAACCCAGCCTACCGTATCTTAGCAAACGACAAATCCTGGCTCTATCAAGCGAAGGAACGAGATAAGTCTGACCTGTGTAGAAACTAGACAGGTATACATTGGTTTTATTCTTGTTGTCGTCCCAGAATCTGTAGCTTTAGCGGAGAGTGAGAAATCTGGTCATATGTGTGTCTCTTTCTTCCCCAGACATGTTGACAGCCAGTGAGATTCAGCAGCTGACTAGCGCACACAACAGGATCAGGTCGGCCAAGAACAGGGACCCCTTGGTACGGTAAACTGTTGAAAGGGAGTTGATAAGAGAGCGAGCGAGAGAGAGAGAGAGAGAGAGAGAGAGAGAGAGAGAGAGAGAGAGAGAGAGAGAGAGAGAGAGAGAGAGAGAGAGAGAGAGAGAGAGGATTCGGTAGAACATAGGAAATGAGTGCCAGTGAGATTCGCAGAAATAAATTGAGTTTAAAAGTAATGAAGAATGAGAGAGAGAGAGAGAGAGAGAGAGAGAGAGAGAGAGAGAGAGAGAGAGAGAGAGAGAGAGAGGAGTGGGTAGAACATAGGAAATGAGTGCGAGTGAGGTTGGCAAAAAAAATTGAGTTAAAAAGTAATGAAGAATGAGAGAGAGAGAGAGAGAGAGAGAGAGAGAAGAGAGAGAGAGAGAGAGAGAGAGAGAGAGAGGGGGGGGGGAGTGGGTAGAACATAGGAAATGAGTGTGAGTTGGATTGGCAGAAAGAAATTGAGTTAAAAAGTAATGCAGAATGAGAGAGAGAGAGAGAGAGAGAGAGAGAGAGAGAGAGAGAGCGCTAAACAGAAAAAAGGGAGAAGTGACTGAAGGCATAGGAATAAAAAAAAAAAAAAACCAGAAGCAAAACGTGATTTAAGAGTGCCAGATACTGAGATAGAAAGTAGAAAACGAGACAGGAAGAGAATCAGCGAGAAAGTAGTGCGCCTGACTGCACAGCCAGTGCAGATTCTATATCTGCAAGGATGTGTATGCCCAGTAAGTAAGCTCTAGGAGCCGCCATAACGTGCTCGCCTGCTGGCAAGGTCTAGGAATTAAATCTGCATCGTGGTGGACATTTTGTTGTCGGAATTAGCCTCAGTTCCTAGGCCGACCTCTTCTAAAATGGGGTGCAGGTACGGAGTAAATATCGAAGCTGTGATGCTGACCTTTGATTGGTGCATACAAATACAGGTCTAGCAATAAATAACTGATGTGCCAAAGGTCAGAAATGTGTCATTTTTCAGCTAGATAGCTTTTTTCGTCATTAACAGAGATCATGACTGAGAATAGAAATACGAAGCATACAATGGTGTGAAATATCTGGCAAGTAAGAGCAACGACTGTAAATACAGCCCGTCACAATAGGAAATTGATAATAAAGCAGAATAAAATGTTTTGAAGCTAAATAACGAGCAATAAGATAGTCTTTAAAATAACATCACTTTATTTATAATGTAATATAAGGATAAAGTAAGAAAGATCGGACATGAAAGGTCATATAATGCTCCAAAAAGCTTCCTTCCTTGAATCAATTTAGCTATACTAAAACCTTAGTGGGATGTCATACACGCCAGTCTATGACAGCATCAGCGACAACACACATCAAAGTCCACAAGAACGCCCTTTCAAACGTGTAACGTTAGTGATCTCTGTTAGAAGATGCGCAGATGTCTTCTCTCTACTGTCACTACTAGGTGCATGGTTGGAAAACAGGTTCTCGACCCATCGTGAAACATAAACACTGCGATCTTTATTTATTATTAGATATTCTCGTAATGTGGCGCTGCGTTAGCGCAGTCGATAGGAGACTCGCTTTCAAATCCCGCTGTTACTCGCTGCAGCACATGGCCGATGTTCGAAACCAGGCGGTTGCCGGGTGTTCACCCAGCCTCTAGGTAATGGGTACCAGAGTTACCACTCCGGGGTAAATGGAGGAACGTAGCTGTAGCTACAGAGTTGCGTGCGGACGGCGAAACAGACGGACAGTTTCTTATCAGCTGTCCGTACTGGTGTCAGAGCACTTATGGTTTATAACCGTGTACAATGACGCTGGTTCACATCTCCTGACTTTACCTTTTTACCTTTTAGATATTCTCGTAAGAACAAATATTCTCTTTTACACTCTCAGGAAGTCAGTGTCGGCATTGTGCCTCGATTCAAGATAGCTGGAAGTCAGAATAAAAAAAAAGTAATTGTTCCTTTTCCACGCCTTTAGGCGTATAGTGCATATAGAGCTAGATCTGTATTTTTATAGACCAATCGGCACAAGATGGGTGATGTCGTCAGCATCATGCCGGCAGCCTTTGCTTTCCAGAACTTCACCTGGTACTCACTCAAGGCGGGGTCGACCTGGGAGTCAAGGTAATTTAAAAAAAAAGTCCGGCTAGGTGAGCAAGCGAACCTTCCAATCCGCACGCGAGCGTCTAGCCGCTATGCCGCGGCGACTTCCGGAAGTCTGAATACATTCACATAATTACAGTCATACAGCTAGATAGATGCATACTCGAAGAGAGATATTGTCTAAGTTGGTGTTTCTCATTGCTCCATATGTTATTCGTAACCCCATATTTTGAACCACTTATAGCTCACGCACGCTCAGTTTCGCCGCTGCGGTCCATGGGATTGAGGCATTTTCGGGAACTGACCTGCCTGCTCCAACCACTCCCGTGTAAACTAGCCTTCGTGTCTCTTTGTACTGGCTATCCAGTTTGTTCCATCAAGTTTTGGTTTTTAACACGGCGGATCTCTTTGTGTATTTTGATTTGATTGTCTTCTTCTGAGTTTGCCTTCTCGATGAGCCTGGTATCTAGTATAAAACCCTTACCCTCCCCACCCAGCATTCTCCCCAAAAATGTTCAGATCTTTGATATTGGTTTTTTTTCTAACGTTAGAAATACTTTCTTTGAATGGATGAGAGAGAATAAACTGTTCCAACGTGTTTTCATTGTTTAAGTTTGAGACTGATTTGACTGAGCTTCATTGTAACAGTAATTGGTAGTATAGTCTTTGTTTTCTCATATTTTAACCTGGCACATTGTGCCAGCGACTTCAGACGGACAATTTGGGAAGAGAGAGTAACCTTATTTATACTGGGACGAGGAAATGCAATCTGAAAACATTCAAGACATGTTAGACATGGCTTAAAGCCTCTGGCAACTGAACTATGACGAAAGTTTCAACAGGAGGAAAGAAATAACATTGCTTTTCTGATCGGCATCTTTTATAGCATGCTTTATCAAAAAGTATTGGTGTCACTTTCCCTTTTGAGTAAATTTGGCAGTTTCTTAACATGCTCTGTGAGTTGCTCAGAGAAACCACCCTATCTCTTTTACTGTTTGAACAACTTAACTGTCAGTATCTAAAGATGCTAACTATTTGAATTAGGTCACATCGTAGGTAAAGAAAGTCTCTTATTAAAAAGTACATGTTGCAACAGCTGCTTGTACAAGTTTCGGCTCAGGCTATCCTTCCATCCAGAGTCGAAGTATGGGAATATTACAACAAAACTGAAGAACATGATTCTTTAGCGAGTGGGATGAATCTGACTGGTTATAACATAAGTGTTTTTTTTAAAAACGAATATCCTGCGATTTAAATTTTTTACACTGCACTGAGAAATGTACCAATGATTTATGAACATTTTCTCTCTTTCTCTCGCTCCCTTCCCCTCTCTCTCTCTCTCTCTCTCTCTCTCTCTCTCTCTCTCTCTCTCTCTCTCTCTTTCTCTCTTTCTCTCGCTCTCGCTCTCTCTGTCGTTGTTTTATTTTCATTCCATACTTTCCTGCTGCACCTGAGGCCGCTACTGGCCCCTCCCCTTTTCCACCCCAATGGGGAGTGCCAGCGTCCCCAGACCAAAATTTGACCAAGGCTGCTCCCCCGCCCCCCGTCCCCGAACCTTCCCAGCGCCCCAGCGGGCTTTAGCGCCCACTTCGTGAAACAGTTGTCTTGGGCTTACAAAAAAGCCTACCCAAAAGTGTCTGTTGACTGCACTGGAACCTCAGACTAAAGACCCATTTGTCCTAAAATGTAGTAAGTTTTAACAATACAAAACAGTTGATTTTATAATGAGGCTAAAAGTAATGGCTGTCTGTTTGTAAGGTCTGTTTGTAATTTCTGTTTGTTAGTTTCTGTTTGTGATGGCTGTGCGTAATGTCTGTTTGTAATGTCTGTTTGTAAAGGCTGTTTTTAATGTCTGCTTGCAATGTCTGTTAGTACTGTCTGTGTTTAATGTCTGTGTGTAATGTGTGTAATGTGTGTTTGTACTTTCTGTTTGTAACGTCTGTTTTGAAAACAAAAATAATTTAAAAATTATTTTGGTTTTCAGACATGGGATCCGTATCTTGAGCGCTGGGCGCAGTGGATTGTTAGGTGTCACTCAGACTACCCTGGGCCAGCGCATAGCTACACTAACTTCGAAAGACTTGAACTGGTGAGTTTCATAGATTTCATAGATTTATATACGCTAACGACGAGAACAAGATACCAAGGAAATCTACATCAGCTTTATTACTATCATTGTCAGCACTGTCCTCACCGCCATCAACGTCATTGTCCTCCCTCAGTATCGTCGTCGTCATCATCATCGTTTGCATCATCGTCTCCGCTGACACCGTCGTCACGATGACAATCAACTTCATAATCGTCATCAAACTATTATCATCGCTGATTTGTATTGTCATCCTCCTCATTGTTCTCATTTCAAAACATTCGATTTCTTGCGACATGGTTTATGAACGAGATTCGCCAAATACAAGGGAACTTCGAAGGTAAACCGTAAACGTGTGTCAGAAATTACAATAGCCATCTTGTGTCTAGAACAAGTCTTGTGAGTTGTCAGTATTGTTTTTTAAGAATGTCAAGCGTGTAAAGCATGTGACATCACGGTGCAGACGAACGCTGTGACTTCATAATGAAAATGTAATTATTGCCACCCCATATAGTACTGTTGTCTGTGTTTGCGATCGGTGAAGGAGTGAAACCTAAAGAAATTCATCGACGATTACAAGTTTAGTCTTTACGCCCATTAAAACACGTTGGGTTTTAATAAACAAACACCACGATACTGTCCATTTGAAAAGCGCTGTTGCGATCAAGTTGAACCATTTTGTCTCTACGTGCTTGTTCAACAGAAATCCGACAGGCATGGGGATAGGACGTTGTATGCACCTTTTAAGTCAATAGCGGCTGCAGTAGTTTTCATTCCTACATGGAAAGCCTCCTATGTGTCAGAGCAAATATTGCAACAATACAACCCGTATCTCTCTCCTGTCGGTATCCACCCAGTGTGGCAGAGAAAAGTCATATTACCTCAAAGTTTTGAATTTTTTTTAAAATGACCTTAGCTCTCAGGTAGACCCAGCCTTGAGTGGATACCAGGTGCAGTCCTAGGAAGTAAAGGAGGCCGGCGTGATACTGACCACATCACCCATCTTGTGTCGATTGGTCTATAAAAATATGTCTAACCCCATATGCCCTATACGCCCAAAGGCAAGTAAAAGGATCTTTTACTTTACTTTTACCTAATGCCGTCATCAGATCGGCGACCGGGTTGTCCGTTGGCTGGCATGTCGGGACAGTATTTGAGTCTGACTCCTTTGGTGAAATCAACCCTGCAAGATTCCTTTTCAGGGCTACATGGTGGCGAGCAACGTAAAGCCATTTAAAATGGCGCAAATAACCTAACTGACAATTATAACCAAAAGATCCCTTTTCGGAGATGCTGGCTAAACGTAATGTTTGCTGTTGTTGTTGAAAAACTGGATGCCGTCATCCCAAGTTTGTATCCAGACAGGTCTTTAGTATTGCTCTGATGTCTTCAGACGAGATGTTCAATGTGCCGTCTTCTCTGTCTGTTTCATTCATGGAAATAACATATACGGTCTGTTTTATCTGCTTCCTCTTGTCGCGTATTTTTTTTTTTTTCTGTATGAGAAATCTCTGCAGCCGAGCCTCGCCTTTGTGTTCACCTATTGTAACTTCACTCAATTGATGATTTTAAGTTCAGAGATAGCACACGTTTGTTTGCCGCGGTTTGTTCTTTGACATGAGTCGCCAGAATTTTATGACGGAATGTTCGTACCCTATTTCGTTGCAAAATGTGTGTGTGTATGCTTAGACGCCTTTGCAAAATGTTTAAAGTGTTCCATGTTTATATGGTTGTAGCGAGTCTGACTCGTAATTCCAACGTACCGCAATCAAAACCCACTCCTGGCTGTGTGGATTTGTATCACGGTACAGTTCGTCGTCGGGCGACCTAGTCTAAAGTAGGTACCCGGATGTATGTCCTGGGGAAGTAAAGACGGCCGGTGCAATGCTGACCACATTACCCACCTAGAGCCGATTTGTCTTTAAAAATATGGGCGCTTTTCTCATATGCCCGATGTGTCTAAAAGCGTGAGAAGGGATCTTTACTGACTTTTACTTTTATGTTTACAGGGAGACGACCTTTACCGGAAGATTTGCAGCTGGCCCTCAGAAGGTCAAGTAGCCAATATACAGCTGATCCATGCATGCAGAACTCCGTACGACGAATCTCGGTGTAACCATTACACGAATGTAAGTGGCGCCTAGTCAGACTCTTTAGTCTGGGCAAATGGCTGTGTGTTTGTATCGTCTGTTATCTCCCAACGAAGCATAGGCTATCAAACAAGCTGGTACCCAGACAACGAAGAAGAAGAAGAAGCTGATGAAGATAACGATAATTGTGATGATGAAAAGGATCCATATGATAATGATGAAGAAGAAAAAGAAGAAAAAGAAAAAGAAGAAAAAGAAGAAGAAGAAGAATAAAAAGACGCATATTTCAAGTTACCTGCGTATACCTTACAGGACATTGCAGAGCGAATCCCAACACTTTACGACTGTTGTGGTTTACCGAGGCGAATTTTATGTTTAGTTGTTTGCAAATGCTAGAGAACGGTCAGCTCTAGGTACCAATGTCGAAACCAACGCAAGACAAACCGTCTACAACTGGGATTGAACCCGGCATCGCGGCATAACAAAGCACGTTCACAATGCCTGAGACACATATTAACCTAGAAAAGTTAGTTAGTTGCGTTTGTTTTACAGGAAGTTGCAGAACCAACCCTAGCATTTTTTAGCTGTTGTGGTTTTTCCAGGTAAATTTACGTCCAGTAGTTTGCCATTGTAACTGGACGGTCGGCTTCTCGATTCCACTGTCAAAACCAACGCAAGGCGCAGGGCCCGCAGCTGGGATCGAACCTGGCACCCTTACATTACGAAGCGCGTTCGCAACGTCTTAGCCACAGACGGCGACTCCTAGAAAAATAGCAATAATAATAATAAACATAATAATAATATTAATAATAATAATAATAATAATAATAATAATAATAATAATAATAATAATAATTATTATTATTATTATTATTATTATTATTAGAGGAAGAAGAAGAAGAAGAAGAAGAAGAAGAAGAAGAAGAAGAAGAAGAAGAAGAAGAAGAAGAAGAAGAAGAAGAAGAAGAGTAGGGGGAAATCATTTAAGCCTATTTTCCTATCTCAGTCTAAGAAACGCCTAACCTCTTTCTTCCTGGTACGTATTTCGGACAACAAAACGTCCATCCAATCGATCAGCCAACATCAACCTAATGAGAAAAGATGACTCTATCTCGTGTTTGTTTGCGTCGTCTGAAACAGTAAGCGGCGCTCCTTTGGGTATTGATCCATAATTCTAGTAAAGGTTTAGAGATTCTTTGTAAAGTAAAAGTAAATTGCCGTAAAATATCACAGTAAGAAGTTGTCGTTTCCTGTCTATTGCCGGATGCATAGCTTGTCATGTAGTGTCTCTTCCACTGGGTCGAACCAATTCTTTCTTGGTCGGCCCTTTGGCTCCTAACCTGCAGCTCTCATGGCTGTTCTCATGTAGTACGCTGTAGCTGCTAGCTGATTGTGTTCCATTCTTACCCGATGACCTAATTATTTGATTCCTTGATGCTCTTCCCTAAAATAACTTACGGTACTGAACTTACCATTGCTCTTAGTCCTTCATTGGTAACTCTGTCTCTTCTTGTTTTCCCCTACCATATTTCTTGTACAAGTTCCAGTGGACCAAGAGGTGAATAAAAGACGCTGGCGTTGGAAAGGATACACTTTGAGAAGACGCATTTTGCAGCATTGAGCAGCTGGAAATCGAAAAGCGTAGCCTAACGGGGCTGCCGGCAACATTTGGAGTTAAAAATCTACCCTCGCCGGTGCTACGGAGCTCGTGCACTGCGCTGAGACTCTCCTGACTCAGACTTGTGATTGAAGTAGAACGGAGGAAGTATGGGTTAATATCCTTGTGCCATGATGTTGATCCGTTGTTTAAATATACACACAAACAAACAAACCACTTTGAGAATACCTGATAAGAGTATAACAAGAATTTCTTTGTACAGAAACCCACAGGGCCATAGAAATAAAGGAAGGCAATTAAAAAACAAAAACAACAACAACACGTGAATCAGGTAGCTAGAGCGCCAAATTAAAAAGATGCGGAGGACACGGGGATAGCTGCGTGCGATAGCGAAGGAAAGAACGACTCAGCATGAGTCGGTTGACGGCCTATGCTCTGCTGGGTGTTAGAAAAGCAGAAGTTAAGAAGATCTCTGATAAATCTCATCACATAGGTTGCAATTTTATGGGGGTTTTTCCCCTAGGATTGTCCATGTTTGGCATTGATAGCACAAAGTTGAAACGAATGGTGTATTAATCAACTGTGATTTTACCCTCTTCTTAACCTGCGTTTCAACAATTAAATCCCTGGGGTATTCCTAGAATCATTTTTAACTGCACAATTAAAAACAAAAACTAAACACTAATCTGGGTAAACTGTGCTAAGGCCATATTTATTAGAGACTAAATGACGATCACTAGATGAGTGGTGCACACAATAGCAAACTCAAATTAGCCTTCTTCACCCCTTCGAACATTTTAGCAACATAAGGTTAGACCCATATTTATTGACCAGTGGAAGATTATGCCAACATTACGCCATCCGCCTTTACTTTCCAAGACTTTACCTGATTTCAATTAAGGGCTGAGTCGTCATGGAAGCCAAGGTGGTTTTCAAATAAAAGTCCCGCGACTTTCAGCATAATCAATTTTCGGTTGTGAACTGATACCACTGGAGCGAAAACCAAATCTTTTTTTAAGAAAGACTGAATACACAAACTACCGTGCCGACACACAAGCTGCCACCTTCTACTTAGGTTGTGATTAAGTGCTGGATCAATCTTCTCATACGTCGGTTGTCAACTGCTGGCCTCACTTTTATCTTGTATTAGTGATGGCTAGACTAGTAAAAGAAGCTTGCTTCGCTTCATCTGTAATCGTTCTTATTTCAAAGTTTAATAATATATTTGTTTCGCTAACTTTTCCTCTTCCTTTGTTCTTTCTCTGTTTCTTAATTTCTAAGAGTCTTTCTTTTCTTTTGTTTTGTTTTTCTTTCTTCCTCCTCCTTTTCCTCTTCCACTCTCTTTGTTGCCTCCTCCTCCTTAATTATTTTAATTATGAATATTTTCTTTCTTTCTTTCTTCTTCCTCTTCTTCTTCTTCTTCTTCTTCGTCTTTTTCTTCTTCTTCTTATTCTTATTTTTCTTCTTCTTCTTCTTCTTCTTCTTCTTCTTCTTCTTCTTCTTCTTCTTCTTCTTCTTCTTCTTCTTCTTCTTCTTCTTCTTCTTCTTCTTCTTCTTCTTCTTCTTCTTCTTCTTCTTCTTCTTCTTCTTCTTCTTCTTTTTCTTCTTCTTCTTTTTCTTCTTCTTCTTCTTCTTCTTCTTCTTCTTCTTCTTCTTCTTCTTCTTCTTCTTCTTCTTCTTCTTCTTCTTCTTCTTCTTCTTCTTCTTCTTCTTCTTCTTCTTCTTCTTCTTCTTCTTCTTCAGAATGCCCAGCCTTGAATTTGATTACTGCAGATATAACCCGCTTCCATTCATCTTGTTGTTACGCTGAGACTAATTCCATACAAAGTAAAATATTCAATAGCTGAAGATATAACCTGTATTTTATTCAAAGTAAGCCCCTTGTACGTTGATACAGCGAGTGACACGATCAAGCAAACACTGAAACGACCTCTGTGGTTCTTCTATTTTTTTAGCCCTCAAAGTCGATTTTACAGCCTTTGGATGTCATTAGTATCGCTAAAGAAGCGTCCTTTCAACGGTATAACTTTAATCTCAGGAATAGGGTGTTTGGTTTTGAACACACATCTGTTTTGGAGCTTAAAATTTTTGTGAAACTACTACTGATGGTTCTGGTCATCAGACAATAAATGTGGCACAAACCGGCATACAACCGTTTTCTTGCTCAAATCTTCCACTACAATTTTATGAATGGTCTCTGTATTACCACTAAATTCATCTGCCATCAACCTCACAATCAAACAACGATCCTTTTGTAGCTGTTCTCTGATTTTTGCAACGAGTTCGTAATTAAGAGCAGAAACTGGACGTCGAGATCTAGTTGCATAAGTAATGATTTCCACACCACTTTTAAATCGTGAATACCACCTGAAAATCTGTGCACGATATAAACAATTATCCCCATAAAGTTGTAGCATCAATTAAATTGTCTGAATGACACTTTTTCTGAGTTTTAAACAGCATTTAATCTTATCTTTTTGCTCCACGCTGATTGCGTAACAATTTACCTATGACTAGGTCGAAAAAATGGCGGCTTGTTTGTTGTCTGCTTCTCGGGCAGTGTTGTCACTTTGGATCTTTTATATCCAAATTTAGATCTTTTTCATTGCATTTAGATACTGTTTTTGACGTTTAGATCGTAAATATTTTTATAGAAACTTTTCATTTTGAGTTAGATATTTTATAGATTTTTTTTTCTTTCATTGTCAATTTAATAATTAATGTGTAAAATATTTACTACAATATTTTTGTTTTTGTCTGGCACGTACATTGTGACAACTCCCATTTCTTTAACTTTGAACTATAACTGGGGTCAACGCACAAATATCTGGCAGCCCCAGTACTGATTAATAAAAACGCGCGTAAATCATACTAACTTTGTTTCAACCGTATCCTCACTGTGCTGACTTTGCGTTTCTTTTTCATGTGATTTAAAAAAAATTGCTTACCTTCTTATGTGGCTTTCACTTTGAAAAAACCTTTCAACATGCCAAAAGTAAAGTATGAGCAAAAAATTTGGAAAGAGTTGTTGCATGATGACAAAATTAAAAACTGGGGATATGACCAAAGCTTGTTGTAAGTACTGCAAGTGTGAAATTAAAGCGAAAATACAAAACTCAAAGAGTCATGCAGAGACTGAAAGAAAGCATAAAACTGCAGTTTCATTTAAAGATATTACACCGCTGACATCTGTTTTCAGAACTATACTGATAAATGAATAATCAAATGTTGAAGTATATCGCAAAGTTTTTAATTTGTCACTGCGCAATTTCAAACTGTGACCATTTGATCGATTTGTAAAAAATCTTGGACTAGTTCAATTTCAAAAGTGTGGTGTAGAAAGTATAGTTTAGGAACTGAAGGACCTTTTAATCAGCAAACAGTTAGGCTTGAAGAATTTGGCTGTGATTGGTACTGATAATGCC